CTGCTGCAGCCCCAACCCTTGGTGTGGCCAAGGCCTATGACTTCTGCTGACAGCAGCATACAGTAAAGGTGGCCAGCTGCCTGAGATCCAGTGGATGTGATTATGTGTGGCATAATAGCAGGCTATGCTCCCTCAAGGATGGGACCTTCACCTCCCTTGCTGGTCATATATTGGAGATCACACTGGGCCACTGGGAGGAAGTCAGGGGCCTCTGGCGGCCTTGAGCCAGGTGGGATTCTGTGTGGAGGACCTGCCCCTCAGAAACTGTGACATGGTAGCATGTGGCACTGAGCCACTGAGGTTTAGAGCAACACTGTTTTGCAGAAGTAGATAATGATTACCCGCCTGAGCACTTTTTAGACTCCAAAATTTCCATTTTCCACATTGTGATGCTTGGAAGAATTTCCCATTACTAACTAGAGCAATAGGTCCGTCAGAGAGCAGCCTACAATTTGTATGTAATTTGTGAATTAGACTTGTTTTCTTTCGGCACAATCTTTTCATTTCAGCACATTTGCTCCCCAGGGCCTTCAAATTCACTGCTCTTTTAGGAAGTCTAGGTTGCCACGTCTTTTCCACATTTAGCTATTCCTTTTGGTGAGGCCAAGCGACTGACGAAGGAGTGTCTGAATTTCTGTCAGAAGCCAGAATAGTTCACAAAACGTATACTGGGTTTAAACAAGAAAAAAGAAGTAAGAATGCAAGGCACAGGAGGCAGTTCAGGCCTGTGAAGGTAAAAGCCCAAAACCAGTGCCTTCCCCCAGCCTGGACTCAGAGAGGTGGTTCCCAGCCATGGCCAGGTGAGGGAAGCCCATTCTTGAACACTCCACCTCTGCCCCTCCGCCTGCTGTTTCCAGCCTGTCACCTGAACTGTCTATCATATCTAATTACCAGGATAGTCCGGTGTGTGGGAGGAGGCAGCAGCAGAAGGGACCCTGATGCCTTTCCCCTTCTTGCTGGTGACACCCCACTACAGGAAGAGGGCATCTTGCCCCTCAGCTTAGGAGCACAGCCTGTTCCTGCCACACCCTCAAGCTAATGGGACTAGGGACTCCTCTCCAAGGTGGCTGGGCTGCTGCAGGTTGCTTTATCAAGACAAGCTGTGCAAAACCAATGGGAATGAGTAACCCTTTGGGTGGGAGCCAGAGCACTGAGCCTGTGCAGGAGAGAAACTCTGTATTCTGCCTCTGATCTCTGAGGGACCTGCTGAATGGGGTTTGGAGGTGTGAAAAATTTTACATAAGAAACCGACCGGTATACCAGGGAAGGGCTCCTGCAGGTCAGTGGTCTCCCCACCTTGCTGCAGGCAGATGGCTCTGGGCCACCAGGGTCTTTGTAGGTGGCTGCCTGTGACGGCCTCCACTGATTGGGCAAGAACCTGTCCTTGCCTCCCAGCCCACCCTCAAACCTCCTGGGTGGGTGGGCCGAGTCCAGCACTGAAACGGGGTGAGGCACAGCTTTCCTCTCTGGCCAACCCTGTGTGTCCCTTCCCCTTCCGCTTCTGTGACCCATCTCAGGGTCTGTCCCCTTGGAAACCCAACCTGCCATAGAGAGAATCGGCATCAAAACGGAAAGGGAGGACATGAGGCCACAGCAGGTTTCTGCAGGGTGGTGGACCACAAAGGCCCAGTCACCAGACTGCCCACAAGTCGAGGCACATTTTACCCTGGAGGACCCCTTGATGCTCAGGAGGTCGGAGTCAGGAGAGGGAAAGAGGCGAGTGTGCATGCGTGACAGGGGAAGCGGCTCCTTGCCCAGGCTCAGGGACCAAGGAGGGAAGGCTTTCCCCAGCTTCTCTGGGCCTCTGTGGGCTGGCATGGCACCCCATGTGTCTAGTAGAGCGAGCACCAATGAGGACCAACTTCAAGATGCTCACAAGGTAAGGGCCTTGCTCCCAGGCTCCAGGCCAGCACCGAGAGACATTAGCAGCAAGGCAGGGAAGGATCTCCCTTCTCTCAGCCTGGACTTGTATGAACACAGTGCCTGGACCAACTCCAGAGTGCAGAAGTAGTTAGAAGGACAGCAGCAGCAACCCCCCACAAACAAACAAATCAATCAACCAACCAACCTACCTCTGGAATGATGGGGACAGATGTGGTTGTCCTGCATGGTTGTCCCAAGTGTTACCTTTCCTGTTGCCATCAGCCCTTGCTGGTCCTTCTGTTTCTCTGCTCAGCCTCTGGTCTTTTACTCTCCACCCCAGTGCAATACAAATTTTTTTCGGTAGCACTGGCAATTGAACCCAGGACCTTATGCATGCTAAGCAGGAGCTCTATCACTGAGTAACAGCCCCTGACCTTTTAATTTTGAGACAAGGTCTCACTAAGTTGCCCAAGGTGGCCTCAATCTTGCAGACCTCCTGCCTCAGCCTCCCAAGTAGGTGGACTTATACACATGTGGCACCATGCTCAGCTTCTATTTTTTTTTAACACAGTGCAGCCAAATATATAATACAGGAGGCATTTTTATATCCCCCAAAAAAGATAGTAAAAGGGAGCATGTTTCCAGGTTTTTTTCCTAAGGCAATCAGGTAGAAGCAAGATGAAGAGAGCTGGTGACTTCTCACTCCTCATGAAGGCACTCTGGCAGGCAGGGAACCACGTTCCTAGTGCTGAGCTGTCAGTGTGTGGCTAAGGGTACTCCCCTGCTTTTTTTTTTTTTTTTTT